TAAAATATACATATATCCTCTCAACTACCAAAGGTGAAGTAAGAACAGTTCTAGTTGTTTTAATCTTCACAGTACTGCCTGGATTTGAATTCAAACACTATTGAGCATAATCCCTAAGCTTGTTGAACTGACTCTCATAACCTATATCCAACTTCTTTAGAATTTCAGTCACTGCCCTTCTACACATACTGACAGTCACATTAATGTTCATCTCATATTTAATGTCTCTACTCAACTCAGAGTACCCAATAGTTGGATTTGGCAAATTATTGTGTGGACCATGGCCCATACAATGTAATGTGGACCATAACAAAACGTACATTTTTAATATGCTAAATGTATATTATTTTTGTACTGAATGTACATTATACAATATAATGTACACTAAGAACAAAAATAATGTACATCCTTAAATATAATGTACATTATTTTTGTATTAAATGTACATTATTTTTATAATGAACGTACATTATTTTATAGTAGACAAAATATGGTCCACACAACTTGTGTGGACCATGGTCCATACAATAATGATTGGTTGGATTTTGCCTCACATTTTTTTTTTTCAAATTTCCATTCTAACCACTTTTGACTAACTATCCCTAATGTGAATTTAGTGTTGCATTTATTCTCCAACATAATTGCTTTAACTTGAAAACACTTGGTTCTTTCTTCCCACCCAACACTTATATGAAATGCACAGCCCTTTCCAAGACACCCAACCCTAACATACCTTAGCCTATTTTTTTTTTTTTTTTTTCAAAATAAATCTCTCTTTGTGTAAACAACATAACTTATCATAGCAAACGTGAATTGCACATTATTATCAAAGTACATACCTAATTCAAGAAAGGGTGAATCAGATTAAGGGTTGCACTTAGGGTACTTGTCATTGTACTTTGATTGAACCTCAACACCTTCCTCATTCTCTAAATCTGCATCAATTGTTGGTGGGTGGATCTTGTGAATCATAATACACTGAATCTCCCTCTTCATCTAAAGAATTTGTAGATGTTGGAGCATATTGTGGTATAGAGTTAGGATCTATTCTAACTTTTCTTTTGCTCTTCAGCCTTGTAGTTTACTGACTGAAATCTGAGTCATGCTCACTACCACTGCTTATATCAGTATCATGCTCACTGTAAAAGTCACTCCCAAATCCATAATCTTCACTCCCACCTTCCTCACCACCTAACTCTTGTTATGCCTTAACCCCTGCCCCCTTCATCACCACCTAACTCTTGTTATATCCCTTACTCACCATATAACTCTACCTCAGATGCAGCCCCCCTTCCTCACCTCCTAACTCTTGTTCTATCCCTTGCTCAAAATATAACACTGCCTCAGATGCAACCCCCTTCCTCACCTCCTAATTGACCCTCAACTTCATTCCCCGCACCTCAACTTGAACTCCACCCCGCCCCTTTCAGGCCCAGGTAAACATAAACCAACCACCTCAGACTCATTTTCCCCATATTCAACATAAATCTCACACCTTTTATTTTCACAAGCAATCTTAGCTAAGTGTAGACTACTAGCATAATCATTTAATAGTTTTAAAGTTGCAAAGGGTCCAGTGGTCAACTTATATAAGTCAGAGATGCTATTTTCCCATATCTTTGGTCTGCTATATACTTTACTAAGTGTGGATAACATATTAAATCAGGGTCCACAGTCACTACCTATGTCTCACCATTCAAATATTTCAACCTAGGCTTTTGCACGAAACTGCCACCATGATGAATAATTAATTCCACAGTTTCATTCATCCTGACAACAGAAATGCAATGCACATTTCAATATAAAAGCATTACCACACTTTATACAAACAGCAACCGCCATAAATAAGAGTAAAGAAATGCAGGACCACACTCACACCACATTCAAAGCATATTCACCGCATATTCGCATAAGAAAACAGTATAACATATACATTGTTCTACGTATACAGTTAGTTTAACATACCTTATTCGTCCTTCGCAAATATTGCCTACGAATGCCAGGCGTTTTTCCTTCGTCGTCTACTAGTAGTTGCGATGTATGGGATGCCGTCTGGGTGTCGTCGGGCTTAGGGATTTAGGGTTTGGGTGGTAGAGTGGGAGATTGGATGGTTTCATATTTCTATTGAGTCGCGACTTGGCCGGTTAGGGTGAGCAAATTCGATTTAGGGTTAGAGAATCAGGTTTCAATTTGGGTTTAAACCAGACAAGTGATGAATTGGTTGTCACCTCTACAACTTAAAACACGTCAATAGCAAACCACGTCCACATTAGCAACTCATTACCTAGAACTTGAATGCTACCTGTAAAAAAAACTAATTGTAAAAAAAATTATGGTATGTGTATTGAATCAGCACTTATGAAAGGTCAGGGTGGGGCATGAAAAATCACAATTGGTTCTTGGTGCGGAATGACACTTGAGCCAATATTTAATATTTAATATAATCTAAATTGTAATATCTATCCAAGCATCGATTATAATTGAGCATCCATTTAGTTTCCACTCCCCTTCATGTACCTTCAAAGATTCTCGGCGACCAGCTAGCAACGAGCAACGACGTGTGAGTGGTGCGATGACAGGCAGTGAATAGAGGAGTAATTAATAATTTTGATTTTTTGTACATTTTTTTTATTTGCGATCAATTTGAACAATTTAGGGTTATTTCGCTCTAAACGACATCATTTTAAGCAAAATAACCCATTAAAAAAATGAAACACTAGCTTATCAACTGACTAGGCGGGCGTCTAGGTGGCCGGCTGCCTAAAACACCAATTACGATGAAAATCTAGGCGACCGACTGGCCTAGTGCCTAGGCGCCCACTACACCAAATATAGCATTTAGCGCGCGTTTTTTTTTAATGTTTAGCGGCCTACTGCGTTTTTCGTCAGTTCTCCAACCTTGTCTAAATAGTGTGTCGCGAAGGTTTTAGCGGCGGTTTTTTACAACCGCGAGAATTAGTCCGTCAATCATTTAGCGGTTTGTACTACGTTTAGCGATGGTTCAAGAACCGCCGCGAAAAATCAATCATTTTTGTTTACATTTAGCGACATTTATATAACCGCCAGATACATTTTATTTAATTTTACCATAAATATTAGCTGCGGTTTTAAAACCGCCGCTAAAATATATTTTATTTTTTATAATAAATATTAGCGGCGGTTATCAAACCGCCGCTAAAATAGATTTTTATTTTTAAAAATTATTTTCTTATTTAATAATTTAATAATTGTGACATTTTTGAACTGCCACTAAATTTTTCATTTTATTTTTTATGATCCTCATTAAATTATTTTAAATTTGTATTGCAACCACAAACAAATTCGTATATACATTCAATTAAAAAAAAAAAAATCAATTGTTGGAGATGGGATATTGACCAACAAAAATAGGGTCAGTAGGGGGATAGCAGCCGATGATAAGTGCTGGGTTTGTGCACAACTAGTGGAAAATATTGATCATGTTTTGCGCAGCTGCCTAAAGGCTAAGGAGATTTGGAACAATTTGTTACCTACACTCAGCCGTAGTATCAACTCTCTCCCATTTCAGGACTGGTTTGTTAAAGGCATAGCACGAAGACATGATGATAGAAGTCCCTTGGATAGCAGCGTTCTGTTTGCCACCACATTGTGGTGGATTTAGAGATGGAGAAACGATGCTATATTTGCCAATACAGTGCTACCTACTTCTGTGAAGATTTCTTGGATTAAAATACAAGTAGAACAAAACATTAAAGCCTATGCAAGAGCAAAGGGTGAGCACAACCTGAATGATTATGCCTGGAAGCAGCTGTCTTGGAATAAACCGCAAAATGGCTTCGTTAAAATTAATGTTGATGGTGCTGCCAACCAAAGCGCATCTCAAGCTAGTGGAGGTGGCTTAATACGAGATGATACTGGTTCTTGGAAACATGGCTTTGCTTATAATATAGGATGCTGCTCTCCCTTAGTAGCCGAGGCTTGGGCCATGCTCAAAGGTATTCAACTGGCAGCATGGATGGGCTTTAACAAATTAAGTAATCTTTGAAACAGATTCTAGCCAAATCGCAAGCTTCATTAACTGCGATACGCCCTCTACATCAGTGGCCAAAAACATTCTCCTTGCTTGTAGAAAAGAACCGCGATCCTTTGAATCATGGAAGGTCGAGGCGGTTTGTCGAGAGTAGAATGGTGCAGCTAACTTCATGGCAGGATTAGCAACAAGGCTGCCCAGAGGGTTCCACTACTTTGCTAGGCCACCGGATGAAATTCAAAGAAATTAGATGATGATTGTTGTGGTTTTCCCCATTGGCGTGCTGTAAATAATTGTATCTAAACTTCTTGGGTATCCCCCTCCTTATGAAATAAAAAAATCAATTGTAACAAATATTTGTCAATTATTCCTTCTTGGCTGAACCCATTCGGGACTAGATCAACCAACAACTATGAAGCAATACTTTCTAATATAGAAATAACTAAAGGAGTTCTAACTGCCAATTATTCCTTCTTGGCTGAACCCAATGGGCAAGTAAGAGGAGTGTTTCTCTGGAACTTTTTCCGATAGTATACGCTGGAGGAGCTAAGAAACAGGGACTAAGGTACAGATTTTCCACATCTGTTGATACGGTATTGGTCATGCTCTGAACACATTTTTACAATATCATCAGGCACTACACGCGCTAACTAGGCATATAAAAAGTTTTTTATCAAAATTTTTATTTTCTTTTATTTTATTTTTCTCTCCTATTATTTATTTGATCGGACAAAAACCCCCCAAAAATCATGTTTTAGTCTATTGACTAAAACAAAATTTTCATACTTGTCAGTGTATCCACAGAAATAACCAAAACCTTATCTAAAAATTGCACACGTATTTCTCTGAAAATGTAATTCGTACCTTACCTTTTTCCAAAAAAAAAAAAAAAAAAAAAAAATCTTATCTAAAAATTGCACACGTATTTCTCTGAAAATGTAATTCGTAGCGTTTGACTTTTAAAACTCCGTACCCAAAAAGTACGTACCTCTGCGGCTATGCGTATCTCAAAAGTCAAATTTAGCAATCAAGACATCGAACGCGACCAAGTAGACTACGTCACTCGTGACGTAGGTTTCCCCCATTTTTCAGCTCTCCGTCGTCGTTTGTCTTCGCCGAGCCAGGGGATTTTACCTGTTCTGAAGTCACACCGACGGCGGTTCTTCAGCCCTTGATCGATTTCACTGCTTTACTGAGCAACACCGCTCGAGGAAATTTAAAAAAAAAAACAAGTCAAAAAACCGGCCAACAAAAGGGAAAATCTCCAAGGTATTAATTTTTTTTTTGATGATTACTTGATTTCTTTGAATTGTTTTGTGTTAGGAGTTTGATTATAGTTTTGATTCGATTTATCGATCTGTGGAATACTTTAAGATGATATGCAAATGATTGCTTGATTTTTATTGACCTTTACTAATGCGAGAGGGTCTATTTTATTTTATTTTATAATTTTATAATGATGCCGAGAATAGGAATAGGTCGAGCTAAGAAATTCTTCGTGCTAGGGCTCAGAGTTTGAGCAAGAGATGGTTTATGTCTGTATCTATGCTCTTAAGTAATAATCCTGCTTTTGAAGATTATTACTGAGCAACTTTTTGGTTATACACTTCGATCTAATGATTTGTTTTGTTGATTGGTCTGATTGTAGATCCCTTTATGGCTTAATTCTACCTAAAAAACATGAGCTCCTATGGAAATTAAGTTGCCTGACTGTGTTATGTTAATGATTACTGTGAATGGGTTTTGTTTTTTTAATCAAGGTGCTTACAGAAAAGAAAATTTTGTTTTGATCTTGAGAGTTGGTTCAAAAGTTCCAGCATAAAAATCAGTCTTTGTTTTGGGAACTTAAGAAAACTTTTTCTGTTCCATGCCCGATTCTGTAATAATATGAAGTAGGACTATTATTTGGAACTTATACAGAGTTGGAAGATTCATAGTAATTTTATACTAGAGTATTATTTAGTCTAACCAAGTATTGATCTTATCTTTGGTAGTTTTGAATATTTGACTCACTGTCAATAAAATACTTTAATCTTGTAATTTTAACATTGAAGTACGTTTTATTAGATGCTTATCAGTAAGTGGCAATCTTTAGCCAATAGAATGGTCTTTGACATTTAGAATAAACTAATGACTCCAATCAGTATTGGATATGATTAATGGGAAGTTAATCTTGATGTAATGTGTGACATCACAATTTTTTTCATTCACATTCTCATTTATCTCTATGCTGTCATGGAGATTTGTGTGGTAGAAATGCATTTTAAGGAACAGAAGTTCCGTAATTTCAGTACTTTTATAAGTATCTTTTGAAATTCTCAACTCTTTATGTGTTTGTTGGAATCTTAAATTTAGAATTCTAGAGTAAGTGAGCACATCTTATTAGTGAAAACAAATTGCTTGTCATGGGGAATATCTCCAAAGTTACAGTACTTGCAATAAATATCATTTTTATGATGCTTACCTCTACAGTAGAAATGATTAACACTGAGTGAACCTAGTGTTGTATCTTGAAAGACAATTTTAATTTGGTCTTCTTTTTTTGCCGTTGGGTGTGTTGGGGTTTAGGGAAGAGGGCGGGAAACAGTAGTGATCTTTCTTATTCCTCTTTCCATCTTTGCTCACGGTGTCTTTTGATGTTTGTTCATGTTGCATTTGCAGAGTTCTCATATCTGCAAATCCATATATATTGATTTTGTGGTCTGGTTAGCTGCAGAAGGCAAGTCAAGTTCCCCACCTGAAGTGATCATTCAATAGCCCATAATGACAGACATCAGTCCTATGACGGATACATCAACTGATGCAGATACTGAAGATAAAAACTCTAGGGTAATCAAAATGCTCTCAACTACTTCATCTCAATTTTCCTAGTGTTAGTACTCTTTAACTCTTTTGGGGATGTTCCATCTCTATTGATTGACACTTAACAATGTGCACATTGTTGCCCAGTCCTCCTAAAGTTTCTTTGTTTTTCCCTTTAGGGTGTGTTTGGAAACCCGGAAAATGATTTCTGGCAATCATTTTTTGGGTTTCCAGTGTTTGGATGTGCCTAGAAAATCAAGTCAACGAAAATCATTTTCCGTTGACTTTGGAAAACATGCTTGTTTTGGAAGAAAATAACTTCCCCTTTTTTTTAGGGAAGTCATTTTCCAACTTTTACACCACCACCACTACCACCCCACCACCTCACTACCACCATCACCATCGCCGCTGCTGCAACCGCCGCCACCACCACCAGTTATTATTATTATTATTATTATTATTATTATTATTATTATTATTATTATTATATAACAAATAACACCATTACCACTACCACTACACCACCACCATCATTACCATCACCAACACCACCACCACCACTGCACCACACTACCACCACTGCACCACACTACCACCACTACTATACCACTTATTATAATTATTATTGTTGTTGTTGTTGTTGTTGTTTTTTGTTGTTGTTGTTGTTGTTATCATTATTATTATATAACAAATAACACCACTACCACTACCACTACACCACCACTACTACCATCACCACCACACTACCACCACCACCACCACCACTACTATACCACTTATTATTATTATTATTATTATTATTATTATTATTATTATTATTATTATTATTATTATTGTTGTTGTTGTTGTTGTTGTTGTTGTTGATGTTGTTGTTGTTGTTATTTTGAATTACAAGACTTTGGTTAGTTATTTTAATAACTCATTAATTATTTTTTATTATATTTAAAATTGTTATTATATTATTATATATTATTATACATGTTATATTCTAAATAAAATAATTAAAATGTTTAATTATACAATTATACTCATTTTCCAGAAAATGAACAAAATACACCAAGACAGTTTTTCAGAATGCAACCAAATACTAGAAAGGAAAATGTTTTCTGGAAAATGACTCATTTTCCAAAAACCATTTTCCATAAGTCATTTTCCTGTTTTCCAAACGACCCGGGTCAATTAACTGCCTCTTAACTACCTTGCACTTTTTCTATGCCTTGATCATATATTAAAGATAATGATATGTGGCTGAGGAATCTTTCCCATTTCCCTTCTAGTTGGTCTAGATGTTCTTTCCTTTGTTTGAAGGTAATTGTTACCAATTTATTTATGCTGATTACAGTTTCCAAGTGATCAATCTCTAGGCACTGTGGCTTCCAATGGCAGTGACAAGACAAGAGATCAAAAGGTCTACAACTTTTCAATATGAACAAGTTGTTTGAAAAATATGCAGAGATGATAATCTCCAATACTCTTCATGTGTGCAGACACTCCGCAGACTTGCTCAAAATCGCGAAGCTGCCAGGAAGAGCCGTTTAAGAAAAAAGGTAGCTTCCTCTCTATTTAATTGTCATCTTTTTTCTTCTTTTTTTAAAATACATTCCAATATATTACCCGTTTGGTTCGTGGAAAATAACTGAGGAATGCAATGTAAATTCCATGGAAAAAACAAATTTTGGAAAGATTGATTCCATTGTTTGGTTAGGGGAAAAGAAATTACTGGGAATATTTTTGGTTGGTTGGGTTTAGAATTGTAAGGAATAATGAGTATAAAGACCAATAGTTTTAGGATTTTGTTTTAGGGTTTTTTAGGCTCTAATACCATGTGAAAGAATAAAAGGGATTCTTGTATTCAGTGTAAAGAGCTGTACAGAGATCTACTATTTATACAGGTATATTAACTATTAACCTAATGGACCCATTCCTAAAAGAGCATAGGGTTTCAACAGAAGCTAGTACTTTAAACAACCTGATAAGATTAAAATAGCTTCCCAGTTAATTGCTGTTCCAATTTCTACATGGTATGGGATTTTCATTCTGCATTTGAAGTTGGCAAAGCTATCTGGTCTATTTATCTCCTACATTCAAGTGGCTTTTGCCCACAGCCCCAAGTTGCCTCCAAAAGAATCAAATTAAAATATCCAGACCTAAGTAAAGTTGAGATCAAGGCTTACTTGAGTATTGGAGTTTGTCCTCTGTGTTCACATGAATTTTCTTGATACTGGTTTCAAATTTAAAGAAAATTAACCCTTGAGGTGGGCATTTGTACTATATATATGTTTCTCAATTGGCTTTATTGTAATAATCTTTATCTCAAATGATGATGATGTGTGAAATTTTAACTCTTCATTGTTTTCCTGTGCCGTTGCTGCTGTAGGCATATGTCCAACAGTTAGAGAACAGCAGAATGAAGCTGTCACAAATTGAGCAGGAGCTCCAGCGAGCTCGACAACAGGTTTTTTTCTGAGCAGTTAATTTGGAGTTGTTACTTAGTGTTAAACTATAAGAACATGATGATGATGCTAAATTGCAGCATTACTAGTCTTTGTAACTGAACAGTTTAATTTATGAAGCATTCATTTTTCATTGAAGGGCATATTTATTTCAAGTTCAGGAGATCACTCGCAATCCATGAGTGGAAATGGTATGCATTTGTGCTTTTGAATCATGACATTAGGCTTCTCATTTTATGTTTAAAATTCTGATTTCCCTATAAAGTGCACATTAATGTAAATTATTGCTTGTTAATGCAAGGTAAATCAAATGTTTTTTTGTAGAATTGCTGAAGATCTCACAAGATGATGCAATAATAGAGACATAATATTATCCTTTTCTAAATTACTGTATTATCTGATATACTTTGGTCAAAGAGCAAAGACAATCTTTGCCTGATATGGCTAAACATAGATTGAGCATGCAAACTCCAAGTTTAAGGATGAAACTAATTATTAACGAGCGTAGGAAGTCCAAATTATGTAGTCACACACAAATCACAACACCTTATATGCTATGTTACAAACTATGTTTTGTATCTATTTGGAACTCTATGTATGATATGCGCTATTATTAAGACATGATGGTCCTGGCTGTCCAGGATCAGCAAGTTGTGCTGAAATTCAGAGTTGAATTGTTGGAGATCTAAAAGTAAATTCATATGAAAAGAGGAAAGGAGTGCACAGAAAGAGGAATATAGATCATCTATGCAGTGCAGAATATATAACATTATAACATAAGAAAAGGTCTGTGTACAGCAGTTGGTCAAATATTTGGAAATCTACATTATAAGATGCTTGTATTTGAAATACAAGGATTTTAGACCTTTGTTGTGTTTTGGGTGTAAACTAGAGTTTAGTGAAAGCATGGAAGGGTTCATGGTAACTCCTTGTGAACTTAACTTCTGTTTGGGCACCATGTTGTGTGATAAAAAGGTCTATATTTGAACCCTTTTACAACTCATTTACAACCCATTTTATGGTATCTATTTTGAATTCATGTTACATAAACTCTTATTATTCTAGGAGCCATGGCATTCGATGTAGAATATTCACGTTGGGTGGATGAGCAAAATAAACGTATCAATGAGCTAAGAGGAGCTGTTAATTCTCATGCTGGTGATGGTGAACTTCGCATTATTGTGGATAGCATCTTGGCACACTATGATGACATTTTCAGGATAAAAGCAGATGCAGCAAAAGCTGATGTCTTCCATATCTTATCAGGCATGTGGAAAACTCCGGCTGAAAGATGCTTCCTATGGCTGGGTGGATTTCGTTCATCTGAACTCCTTAAGGTATGGGCCACTTTTTATTTCCTTCTCTAAAATGATTGCACAATGTTAGTAAAGGCAGTCTTTTGCTCTTCTTCAATGGACATGTGACTTTCTAGGAATTCTTTTCTATAAAGTTAGTGTAGATTTTAGTAACTTATGTGGGAATCTTATAGCCACTGAACCTACTTAAGACATTTTTTGTTCACTGAATTGCAAGCAACATTGTAATTGTGTTGCATGTTGCATTTTTCTTGAACAATACTTGCGATGCAACTTTTATCTGTTTTCTTTTTATTTATCAACTAGTTTCTAGATTCTGACACGGGTTTTTGTAGTTGCTTATAAACCATTTGGAGCCTTTAACCGAACAGCAGTTATTGGCCATCAACAACTTGCAAGAGACATCTCAACAGGCTGAAGATGCATTGTCCCAGGGAATGGAGGCATTGCAGCAATCCTTGGCTGAGACGCTGATCGGGACTCTCGGCTCTTCAAGCTCATCAGGAAATGTTGCGAATTATATGGGTCAAATGGCCATGGCAATGGGGAAGGTTGGAGCTCTCGAGGGGTTTATATGCCAGGTGTTCAATCATTGTTTTCACTCGTTTAATACACGCCTATTTATTTCAATTTACAGCAATAGGGTTGGATGATAAGATGTTGATTTCAGGCTGATAAGCTGCGGCAGTCGACATTGCAACAACTGCATAAAATATTGACTACTCGCCAATCAGCCCGCGCTCTTCTCGCCATCAACGACTACTTCTCACGCCTTCGAGCACTAAGTTCTCTCTGGCTCGCTCGTCCTAGGGAGTAACTAAATTCCTTTACGCAACACACAATGAAGATTCATAGGGGCACTTGTATATGAGAATTGTCTGCCTAGAAGTTGTGGTCTTGCTTGATCCCTCCAGTTTTGTGACACCATTATAGCTAACTTGTTCATGTTGTACGGTTTATACTTCTTGTTTATCCGATGTTGTCTGAACATTAGTGCTACAGTTGCTAATTTGTAATATAGATAGATGTGATGTGGCTGGTGAATTGTTATATGTAATCTTTAGCATATCTAACAGTAACAGTGATGCATAATGGAAATGCTACAATGTTGTTGACCTCATGTGTGAAGTGTAATACAATTCTTTTGTGTGTGTGTGTGGGTGGGTGGGTAACATTATTTCCGGTATTTTGTAATTAAATTAAGTTTTGATTAATTTAGAGTCAGATTACTACGGAGTATTAAAGTTCATAGAATGATTAGTTATCTATTGTTGAAACTCATTTGAGGATAAGTTTCCGGCCTAGTCGTAATACGGTGGATCATGGTCCGAAAACGGCAATCCTTATATTTTAACAAATTTTGTATTTTTTTGTATTCAAAGCAAAATGAAACTACATTGTATCTAAAATAAAATTGAATAACTTGTCTCGTATATTGTGAATAAAGCTGTGATAGAATTGAAATAATGTTTTAGTTGTGTTGAAATAAAATGAAATTGAATAACATGTCTCACATATTTAGGTGTATATTGTCAAATAAAACTATAGTTGAATTTAAATGATATTTTAGTTTTGTTGAAATTAAACTACAGTATGTATAAAAAGAATCTGAATAACATATCCCACATATTGAGTGTATATTGTCAAATGAAACTGCAGTCATATCAAAATAATATTTTAGTTGTGTTGTAATGAAACCACAGTGTATATAAAATGAAACTGAATAACAGTTTCAAATATTTGAGTGTATATTGTCTCATGAAATCGTAATTGAATTATAATTATAATATAGTAGTGTTATAATAAGACTACGTACGGTGTGTATAAAATAAAATTCAATAATAGGTCTCACTATAATAAGACTATTGTATATATTAAGTCTGTTAATCAAGAGATCTAATTGTGCTATTTTTTTTTTTAAGGTGTAAATTTAACCTCTCTTTTTTTTTTTTTTTAATGCAAAATGAAATCTCATTGAAATTTAACATGTGGTAAACTAATTAATTATTTAGAGATCCATAAAAAAAGGGAGAGTGGGGGGTATAAATATGGGTGAGAAACACATATATAGGTGAGAAGAGGATTTCATCCCTAACCATTCTCCTATCCTCCATCTCCACCGTACCCCGCCATGGATGTCCATAGGGAGGAGGTAAGCAACACCAAGCTGTATTCTTTTTTATTTATTTTTCTTTATTTCTGATCCTCTATTATTATTTTTTTTAAAAAAAAATTAAAGATCAGTTTTATAGTTATATACATTCATGATGATTTCGATCGATAATGCTAATGATTAATGTGTTTTGATGTTTCATTTATTTGATAATAATTGTTTGAATGTAATTGATTATCATTTCATGTTTAATTTTGCAGCTCCTGCATATATGCATGCGGATCAATCTTAAATATATGCACACACTTTTTTTAAGTAATAATCAATCATGGATTAATATTTTTTTTTCTCATAACTATTAAACTCCTAAATATTACTCTGACCTGTACAGTTTTTGTTAAAAATATTACATTTTTTCTTATAATAACAAACAATTTATTCTTAATTAGTATTACATTTTCTTGCATAAGTATTACTAATTCACCATTGACAGAAGTTATTTCTAATTCAACTTTTCATAATGTTAAGTTTATTAGTATTATTATATAAAATGCATATATTTAGAAACTAAATTAAAAATACTATTAAACAAAAAAAATTAAAAATATTAAAAAAAATAAAAAGAAAAGAATTAATTTGTAAATCTGGACGGAAAGCGCGTAGGCGCCGCGTCCTTCACAATGATACCAAATCGAAGCATGTGCTCCATCTCAACTAAAAGCTTAAGCTGCATTTTATGCTCAATAGTCACAATTATAAGATGGTCTCACAAAAGCTTTATATATTACATATGCCTACATATATACATATATTGGATTGCATTGCATATTATATTTTTGATTGATTAGTAGTAAAAAAGAATGAATGAATACAGAGGCCTCGGAGGTCATCAGTGCCACAATTTGGGGGATGGGATCAGAAGAAAGGAGGCGGCGAGGAGTGTACAAATTACACACTAGTTTTTACGCAAGCCAGAGAGGACAGGAAGCAACACAAGAGCGAATTACCCACTCACCCACCCCCTCCCCCTCCCCCTCATATTTCCGCCTTCTCAGCCCCGCCTCCCCACTATAAACAACAACATTATCAACCTCATCATCATCAGAACACTACTTTTGCCGCCATTTCTGAGGATGCTTCTCTTAAGGTTCTCTCTCTCTTTCTCTCTCTCTCTCTCTCTCTCTATAGGTCCATTATATTACTGAAGTTGTTTTGTTTTGTTTGTGCAGAGGAAAAAGTGGTTTCTTTCCTACTTTAGCTGTTTTAGAGGGTGATTAATGTAATGTACATCCCAACCTGGAAGGAAATGGATAACATGTATGTATATCATCTATGACATGATCACAGATGTTCAAAATGCTTTGTAATCGGTAGAGATCACATCGAGCTGTATTGTATGCAGTTTTTATAATATAACATGAAATTGGAGTTAATTTCACAAGATGTCCTTTGTCTTTTGACTATTATTTTTTGGACACTTTTAGTCCTTACTTTTCTTATTTTTAGTAAGGGTATTTTTGTCTATATATATATATATATATATATATATATACTAGTATGTGCACCCGTGCGATGCACGATCATATAATTAAGCAATATAACGTAATAATAATAATTAAAAAATGAAGAAAAAATGATATTTAGCAAATTGTATTACACATTAATGAAAACTTCTCACTGAATGGCATTTTTAGTCGTATTTTAAGTATATTTTTTTTCTATCTTTAACCCATTACACAAAATTCTGTACCAAATTTTATTTCTTCACTAAAATAATTTGTTTTTCTTTACATAAATTAAGACTTTGTAATATAACTTTAAATAATTTAATATACAATTTAATTATAATGTAAAATATTATTTTATTTCGTATACCAGATTTTACACCAAAAGAAATATTATTCGTATGTTTTTACAGCTAATTTTTCATCTCCAACCCATTACATCAATATTATTTTATAATATTAAATTAACAAATATAGTACTTAATATAATAAATTCTTAGCATAAGCTTTATTTCTTTCATTTTTTTTTTCTAAATAATCTAGCCCAAAACTAACGCATTAATGTAGCCTATAACTCTAACCCAATAAAACCAATAATAAAATATTTTCTCTTAACCCTAAGACCATCTCTAACCCTCTGCACCAATTTCTACAACAGATTTTACACACAAAAAATAAAAAAATAAAAAATTCTCAGTATATTTTTACACTAAAACTCTCTCTCCTACCCATTACACAAAATTTTATTTCTTCACTGAAATAATTTATTTTATCATAAATTAAGACTTTGTATTATAACTTCAAATATTTTAATATAAAATATAACTGTAATGTAAATATTATTCTATTCCACAATAATAAATCATTGAACATCCATTACACCCATTACATTTAATTAAAATAGAGATGCAGTGCCTTTGAAGATTATTACCTCTTCATTAAATAGCTAAATAATTAAATGTAATTTGCTTAACGATTACACAATTGTATTTTTTGTTCTAAATTCTTTTTTCTAATTTACTTGTGCATTTAGTAATTCTATAACTCTAATTCATAAACAAAAACCCTTTATTTGTTTACAAAATAATTAAACTTTATTATCAATCTTAAATATTATTCAAATATAAAAAACACATTTAAGAATATTATATATAAATGCAAATGAAATATGAAATATTTAATTTCATGATTCAGAAATCAAAACCTGGTTGTTAAAGAAAATATCAGATTCACCTGAAATGCTAAGCCAATAACAATACAAAGAACATAATCAGATAACCCATTATGCTCTCAGCCCAACATCCAAGTCCGCTAACCCAACTGTAAAACATGACCCACAGACCCTAGGTTACATAACTTAGACGATTAAGCTTCCTTCCTCTCTGCTGCGCTTGTCCTTCTCGATGTTTCTTCAACCTTCTCTGTTACCGGCATGTTCTGCTTACAATAAAAGCGACACCGTCAATTTTTATCATTCGCACATCCAATCAATCCACGGCTAAAGAGCTGTTCAGATATACTCACCGCAACTTTTGGCAGTTGTGGGTTCATTTCTTCTCCAGATGCCGATCTGAAAAAACTTCCGACCGAGAGCATCTCTGTGGCTTCTATGAACATATTGTGTAAACTGCACTGCCTGGCTACCCCGTCTTCGTCATCTGTGAGTATATTTATTTCTATTTTGTATATGTATTTGTAAGCATATTTAGGGTTTTTCCATTGATTATGTTCTACGAATCTAATTATTTTCCACTAATATACAAATCAATGTAAAGTTAGTGTTAGATCCAAATCTTGTTAGGGTGCATAGATACATAGATTCTGCGGTTTATACTATCTACAAATTCGAATTACAATGCTTTGATTTTTTTTCTTTGTTGCATTTAGTGTTCATATATTATGGAATACTCTGAACATGTTTTCCTAATACAGTTTTAGTATATACATTTGTTTTTCTTCAAAACTTATTTCATATAAAATTTGAGATAAAAAGGTACATTTGAAATATGCACAGGAAATTCAATACATTTCTTACTTTTTTTCAAACTAAATAATCCATTCATGCCCTCCCTAAGTGTAAAAAAAATCTTAATTAGTATATGAATGAAATAAACTGAAAATTTTATAAACAACATCAATATGGTAGGATTATAGTATTACCATGTCTGATTCATCATTTCCACATTGCTCTATCATTTTCGAAATAGGATACCTTTCTTGATCAACATCAGGTGTAGAATGATTTCACTCATTCACTCAACATCAACATGTTTGTTGCTTCCTTTCCATCTATTTTGAGTTCCTGCATTCCAGTGAACTACCTGGATAGATTTCCGACTATTTTATATAAACATGAAAAAATACAAAGAAAAACAAAAACAAAGAAATAACATGGATATAATAGAAGATTAAAAAACAGTTTTTACCAAATCATGACATGTTATTTTTACCAGAATTTTTTTGTTTTTGCTTTGTGTATTTGCAAGTGGTTCGAATGGGATAGATTTTGAATTTGGGATTGCAGATCCCTATCAAGGGAGGTTTATATAGATGCTGAATAGTGTCTTTCAAAATTGAAGACTTTCTTAGAATTATGAAGGCTGCACAAAACGGTTCAACATCCAAGGTTACATTAACTATGCAAGCAACCTTTCACATTCCAAGATATTTAAATCCCAATGTAGTTAATAAATTATAGTTTAAATTTTTTTTTTAAACTGACAGAATTCTCTATTAAAGGGAGTTTTTGGCTCTAACGCAATTCCCTAGGGGTGTGGCTATTTTATATAGTAAGATATATATATATATATATATATATATATATATATATATATATATATATATATATATATATATATATATATATATATATTGTTATTTTTTTCGGTTTCAACTGGTTTAAGACGTTAGGGAACCTCTGATTTAAAAATAATAAAAGAAAAATATGAAGAGATAAAAATGTTTTTACTAAAAATAGGAAAAGTGATGAGAATGACTCGTCAAAATGTAATTAAACCCTCGAACTAAATAATGCTTCAATTAAACTCTTAAATTGATTAAAATTGTGCAATTAACATATTTAATAGGTTAATTTTAATGGCATGGCATCATATTCAAAAATAAAATTAAACTAATTTTTTTTTAAAAAATAGAGAAAATTACACTTTTGGTCCTGTAACTATTGTGGTCTTGTTAATTTGAGTACTTGATTTTAAAAACTAACAATTTAGTCCTGTAACTATGCAATTTTTAACACATTTGGTCCTCCCGACCAAATTGCCGGCTAAATGTCGCCGGAATATTTTTATCCATTTTAATATTTTTTAATTCGGGGGCAAATAGGTCATTTCCTTCTTCTTCCTTCTTCTTCCTTCTTCTTCATCCTTCTTCTTGGTTTTCTTCTCCTGGTCTGCAGATCTTGGAGACATGGGTCTGTAAATGGAAGACCAGAATGGTTCTTCATTTTTTATATTGCTCATTTAGTTCACATTGCATTCCATTTTCCATTTCTGTTTCATTAATCCAAACCTATAAATCCCGTATCCCAAGTTTAATTAATTACCCAATTAACTTGTATAATCCAAAGCTGCGGGCAAAGCTCAAATAATGGGTCTCATAGCGCTAAGTATAGGCAGCAAAGAAGCAGAGAGCGAAGAGTCGTTGCAGTAATTCTTCTTGCGTAGCGGTAGCGGCGGCGGAGGGAGGCCGGGAGATGCCAGAAAGGCGGAGGGAGGCCGGGAGATGCCAGAAAGGATTTCCACGACGGAATCCCGCCGGAGAGAAATTAAAGTTCAGGCTGATTCCAAGAAACATGAGGTTCTGCAACTCCGACAAGCTTTCCGGCAATGCACCGTTTATTCTCCCCGGAACAACGCTAAACTCTGTCAGCCCAAAAAGTTTCCCAATCGGGCGACCCATCCCTGAGATTCAATGTGACCACATTATCCCCATCGCAAAAATCTCCGGCGAAGCCACAGGGATCAAAAGTAAATTCCCAGGAATCAAAATGGTTGGACCCCTGCAAATCATCCAAGCATTTTTTTTTTCAACAAACAGAGCAAAGAAAAGAGTAGAAGATGAAGAAAATAAAGAATTTTTTTCCCAGATTTCTTCCTCTTCTTTGTTCGCGTAAAACATGATGCAATGACGAGGAGAGAAGCAGAAAACAAGAACAAATCTCCCCTTTTTTTAGCTTACAATGACCATTTTACCCCCATAAATAAACAATTTTAAAGGAATTATCTTTTTCCGGCAACATTTGGCCGGCGATTTAGCCGGAAGGACCAAATGTGTTAAAAATTGTATAGTTACGAGACTAAATTGTTAGTTTTTAAAATCATGTACTCAAATTAACAAGACCACGATAGTCACAGGAGCAAAACTGTAATTTTTTCAAAAAAATAGAAGTCATCGGCAGGCTTCACCGTACCGTAAGTTCATGGTAATGACGTTGGGGGATTTTCCGGCGAACAAGTTTCTGTTGGTGAGAGTAACAACATGTTTGCTGAACATTGGTGGACTTTGGCTGATAACTTGCTCTTATGGCGTCTTGGATAACTTGCTCGGTTGTCTACGTGTTTTCCGGTCATTTTGGTAAGGTTTTCTGTGTTGGGTGTTGGTAAACTCGTTATTTCTTTTAACCGGTGAGCTGTTCGATTTGTGGATTTTGGCTGATCGTTATTTCCAGTTGGGCTGAGTGCTTGGTTCTGGCGTGTGTTACGTGAAGGTTGTGGACCTTCTGATGGATTCATGTCCTCTTAATGATGCCTTGGAGTTTGGGGGCTTGAGTTCTGCAATGGTGGTTGTATGGCTGCCGGCGAACTCTGGCGTACCGTGTTTTTTCCGGTTAGTTTAGGGCAAGGCGATCTCTGTGGACGAAGAAGCCATGCATCTGCCATGGCAAGTCTTTTTTTTTTTTTTTTTAATTCAAATATAATTATTTTGATTTTATTATTTTAATAATTTTTTTAAAAATATTAATCTATGTGGCATCCATATGGCATATGACTTGAAGGTAACATGTTATTATAAGTCAAAATAATTAATTGTACATTTTTAACAAGTATAAGGGTTCAATTGAATGTTTTTTTAGTTCGAGAGTCTAATTGCATTTTGATATATAGTTGGAGGGTTTATTTGACCCTTATCTCAAAAAAAATAATAGTTTAGAATGTGTTAAATGACAAAAATGATAATCTAAGATTAAATTTGAAATTATCACTAAAGATAATGGACGTCTGACAGAATTAACTCCATGAAATTGTATTATCTTTTTATCTTTACAAGCAATTTAACTTGTCTGGATATGTGATTATAAATTAAATGGTATGTATATGCATTATTTCACCATACCATACTTCGAAAAGGGAACAATGAAAATATGAAATATATTACACATAATTATTCTTATGTTTCATTATTTATTTTTTCTAAAAAAATGTAACAATTATTTCATATGTTTTTTTAGATTGTTATGGATTGTGGTCGAAACAGGATGGGGTTTGGGTGGAGTCTTTTTTATTGGGACGACACCATATTGGGGGTAGTTATGTTTGCCAAACAAGGGACGCATACAGTTCGTGAAACCGAAGCTATGGGAGCTAGAGAAGCGTTGAGTTAGATAAAGGAGAAGGGGTGGAGGAGAGTTATTCTCGAGACTGATGCCTAGATTGTCACTCAAGCTGTCGCGGGGGGAACTAATATATGTCCCTTTGGCACTATTATTGAAGATATTCAGGAGCTGATGCGACAACTTCCTATGGTCTCTTTCCCGTTTGTACCTAGAAGGAAGAATATGGTGGCTCATACTCTTGCAAAGCATGCTCTAAATTGTGTTGGGACTCAAAGAATTGAGCTTTATGATTATATTCCTCGTTTTTTGTCTATTCCTGTTTGTAAGAACACTGCTTCTACTTGATATATGAAATGTTTTGTTTTTCAAAAAAAAAAAAAAAAGGAAAAAAAGATTGTTATTAAATAATGGAATAAGGTCAAATAAACCATCCAACTATATACCAAAGTTCAATTAGAATCTAAAACTAAAAAAACTTTCAATTAAACTCTTAAACTTGTTAAATTTTTGCAATTAACACATTTAACAAGTTACCAAAAGGTAACCGATCAACTTTACTTACATAACATCTTATGTGGAATCCTACTTAAAAATAATTTAAAAAAATATTTTTTAACTAATTAAAAAAACTTTTTGACGTAATTTGACACAAAAACTTCCGATAAGCTTCTTCGTCGATCCATGGTAGCTATGGCAAAGAAGTCATGGCAGCCAAGTTGCCATGGACAACTGGCAAGCTGCCATGGTGAGCTCCGCGGGCGGAGAAGCCCATTCTTCGTCCATGGCAACTTGTCTGCTATGGTTTTTTTTTTTTAATTAAAATGTTTTATATAAATAAATATTATTATATTAATTTTTATAAAAATATAATTTTTTAAAAATGTTAATCTAAGTGACATCTTATGTGGCATTGGTAGGTTAAATAAATTAATTGTACAATTTAACAAGTTTGGATCTAGTTAAAAAATTTTTAATTGGATTAGTTGTAATTAATTGTAAATGCTCCATAATAGAACTTATGATATAGCGCATTTTGATTAGCTACGTGTCAAAACAAAATATTTCTTTAATAATTTAATTAAACAACCAACTAGTCATAGAGTATTATGCCATGTCAGAAGTTTTTTAACTCACTGAACTCATCATTCTCAATTGGAACTACAAGAAGGAACAAAGACACACACAAAAAAAAAAAAAAAAAAAAAAAAAAAAAAAAAAAAAAAAAAAAAAAAAAAACTGTCAAAGAGATCCGAAAACAAAACTGCAGATCCAAACTGTCAAAAATTCTGATCCAGTGGACCAATAATAAGTGCCAATTCCTGAACATTAACATACAATCACACCATGAAATGAGCCAACTCAAATCCTCTCCATTTTCTATAGTATTTAACTTTTGTTTTCTTGAAACAGAAAATCAGGGGAAATTGTAAAAATTAGGTGGAGAAGTAGAGATAATTAGCTGACAAGAGATGCTTCAAACAACAAAAACTTATCGCCTCCGCATACCACGACCACGGGGTGCAAATCCACGCCCTCTGCCGCCCATGCCACCTGCAGCTTCTCCCTGGGCACTCTCAGACTGCATAGGAAGACAATGGATTATCGTTCCCAAATGGTTCGAGTATAGAAAACGTGAACAAAATAGCCGTGCTACAACAGAAAGTGATAAAATATTTACATGATATAAACTAGTTAACAAGTACATAATATATAGCCTGGACAAATGGTAGTATATGGGGTCATAACCACCGTCATCCAAAAAGAACCGATATTAACTTAAGAGGAATGGTAAAATGTCGTATTGCCAATATGTTTATATATTAGAGCAATGGAGTTCAACGTAAAATGGTAAGCCCGAAACAAATTACCTTGGGGTTCTTCACTGTTTCATCCACACTTAGGATAAGGCAAGCTGCTTCGGTAGCTGCGTTTATGGCATTTATCTGAAAAGAGATCAAGATTTGTAATTTAAAAGACACTAGGAAAGCAAGAAAGAAATAAAAACCGGTGAAAGTCAATGCACCTTCACAACAGATGGTTCCCACACAAAATTAGCAAAAGAATCGGCTATTCCACCGGTATTGATATCCACTCCATAAGGTGCACCCTCACCTGTTTCACGGACTTGCAGCATTAATAACAAACAAATCTAAAGAGGAAAGGTTATAGAACCACTATCTTAAAAAGTATATATACAAAGTTAAAAATTAAACTTAACTAAGAAACTAAATTCCAAAATAAATACCATAAATCCTAATCGGCCAAACTTCACATACCAATATATCAACTAAATATAAGTAGGCTCACCTGATTGGAGGGCATGTTTTTGTCTAAGTTTGTTCAACACATCAGTTGCATCAAAACCAGCATTGTCACACAGTTGGCGTGGAATAATCTGCATTCAGAAAAACAGAGTTTTTTTTTTTATTAAAAAAAAAAAAAAAAAAAACATGCACAAACACACAATAACAATTTTATTTAAAAAAAAAAATTATTTCAGAAAACTCAATGTAACAGCAAAAATATCACATTATCCCATAATTACATATTGTTCACACATCTATGATGAAGAAACTAGCACAGCATGGGAACCCTAACAATCATAAAACTTTTAATGGAATAATGACATTAGCAAGACAAATATGTTCAGGAATTGAAATAAGCCAGGGACAAAAAAATGGCATATATAACAAAGAGCATTCATTAATTTGCAATAATAAAACATATGGCCTGCTTTGCTCACTGCAACCAAGAAACTTCAAGCCTACACAAACACATTGGGATAGACATCTGAACATACTGAAACACTGTTTTATAAATAAAAACAATGCAGAAAAGGGTAAATAAATACTCTGTAACGCTCCAGTACAAGGCACAGATTAAACCATTCACACAACTAAAATTAAACACAAATCAGTACACGATGTACTACCTCAAGGGCTTTGGCATATGAGTTTATAAAGAGTTGAGATTTCCCTTTTATTGTGCGTGCATGCTGCCTTAAATAACGGCTAATCTCCATCTGCACCCAGCAATATATTTCATTATCAAGTTGTTGAGATCATTGAAATCAGATACGGAGAATTACATAATGGTGCTAAGGTCTTACATCTATCGCGCCACCACCAGCAACAACAGTAGAGTTTTTCATAGCTCTTCTAACAATCATAATTGCGTCGTGCAAACTTCTCTCAGCTTCTTCAATGAACTAGTATAACTCAAGAAGTCAAATTAGGATCACCAAATAAAACAAGGGCATAATATTTAGTCATTATTTTATCAAATTAAATTCCACTATAACTCTTTTTTTATCAGATCAAAGAACTCAGTATCCACACTTAGCTACACACATCATGAATTCACAGCTATTCCTATTCAATATCATTAGCATGCTTCTAATAAACGTACTAAAGAAATTTTATTAAATTATGTAATTTGACTCATTTTCAACTTTAAGATTGGACACTAGAAATTTCAAATTTTTTGAAAAAACTTAGGCATTCAAGAAGTACATTAAAATATCATTTTTAGAATATAACTTTTGTAAGAATTTAGTGAATAAACAAAATACATTAAAATACTAAAAATAATAAAAATTCAAACTTCAGAATCTTCACAATGGTAATAATACTACCAAAATAAATTAACTGTAGATTACATTTGGTGCAAGGGCATTCAATTCATTTTTGTTGGGAGTGCAACCACAGAATATGGGGAGCTAAAAGATGAATGTGAACATCAGCAATCACTCCCTTAAACAAATGCTTTTTAAGTGTCCCAAAAACATATGTTAGTGTGCAATAATATCTACCTGATCAGCTCCACCACGAAGAACAATGGTAGCAGTCTTGCCAGATGGGCATCCACTAAATATGTTGAACCGCTCATTTCCTACTTGCCTCTCCTCAAATGTCTCACATGATCCAAGAACCTTCTCCACAGAAAAACACAGTTGGTAAAACATAAACAAAAAAGGATCCTGAATATATTAGAGCATGCTTGCCATAGTATTTTTTAAATGTATGGGAATATAAAATAAAAATAAAATAAATTTAAAAAAAAAAAAAAAAAAACCTCATCAATAACGTTGTTCACAGTTGTCTGTACTGTTCCACCAGTAGCAGCTGCCACCCTCTGCAGATCCTCCTCAGTAACACGGCCAGCACAGAATATATCCCGATCTGCAAAATACTGGCCACAGAACAATTTGATCAATACATATTGATCTCCATTAGAGAATAACTTAAAATGATACAATCTTCCTTGCAAAGGCATAGTGTTTTTGGGAAATGGCAGCACCGTAGGAACACATTATAATTGAAATTTGTGGATGAATAAGGACTGAGGTAGTACAGATAATTAAATGTTCTAATATCCACATGGGAAACTTAGATTTAAATGGTATACATAAAATTGAAACTTCTATATAGCTTTGTGAATAAATACACCAAACAGCAGGACAGAATCAGAGCATAAACAAATTATAGTATGAGTGCTACTTTTCCTTTGAAAATCAAGGTGAAAAATAATTACAACTATAAGTTACAAAGCTTTCACCAAACCTGTGTAGCCAGATCACCAATAGCAAGTCGAGACAAAACAACTTTAGCCCCACTCTTGACACATTTATCCAACTTGTCATAAATGATATTCCACTCTGCATCAACTATTGATTGATACTGTGATGGATCGGAAAGCCTGTTATAGACAATGGTTATGTAAGCTAAGCACTGGGAGTTTCAATCATGTGACTTGTGATAATAATAATAATAATAATAATAATAATAATAATAATAATAACAATATTCAAAAGAAAATCTAAATATTATTTCCAAAATAATGATACCTTATCTCTGCATTTTCTTTCTCTGATTTCAGTTCCAACTCTATGTTGAGTAAAAGTATCTTGGGATTTACAAACTTCTTAGGCTGTTGTTCAAAACCAGCATACGAAAATGTCTTCTTGAAGGCAACACCATTTACAAGGAATGAATCCCGCATAGTACCTCCAGGAACCTACATATTTTATTTTAAAAGAATAAAGCGTAAGCATACATTCACATCATTAAAATAAGCATTGAAAAAGATACAGAGGCACATAAATATAAAGGATGAGAAAACAAGGTTATATTATATAATGCAACTCTCAAGATGGATCACATGGGTATCCAGTTTCAATTAAAAAATCTCCGTAATAACCTCAACATCTTCTTTTTTACACTCCCAGGCACACATAACACTTTGTGAGTAAAGCAACCATACATGAATATGTTATTAATGTGATGTCACACACTGTACCATCCACAGATCACAGTAATGTCAATTTTTAGGTTTGTACTCACAAAATAATAGTAGTATACCCTTCCCAATAATATCAAGCTTTTTAAACTCAAAACTTCAACATGAAAGAAGAATTTTCAGAGCATTAAATATGTAATGTGTCTAAACAAGCATTAGCATCAGTGAACTCATTCATGTAGCATAAGTTGTCCAAGTGTCAGAAAGCATAAATGAGGAGACCCCATGCCAATTAAGCAAACAAATCAAACCACTTCAAAGCCACATCCATCAAAGTCAGCTAAATCTAGTAGGCCTCAAAATATAAGTTATACCTTCTTGATTCCAATCATATTCAGCCTGTCTTCATTTCCAATTGCAATAACAGCATCAACAACCATGGATGCAAAAAACTCCTTCTCCCCACCAATGAGTTTTGATGATAATGTTGTCGCAGCACATTTAGCTAGCAGATTTTTCTTTTCATCCATGCTCTTTCCCTCTATGCTAATAGCCAATTCTTTCACTTTCTCAGTAGCCTATCATAGCTTAAAGGATGTTAGAAATACGCACAAGGTATCATGACCCAACCTGTTCTAACTTAAGACTGCAGGCAACAACCCCACCACATTATGGGGGAGGGTGGGCAAGAAAACCTACCAAATTGCAAGCAGTTCGGAAACTGCGAATCAGATTTTGAGGGTGCACTCCATCTTCAATAAAAGGCTTGGCTTCCTTCAGAAACTCTCCTGCAAGCAGAACAACTGTAGTTGTTCCATCCCCAACCTGCAAGAATGAAATATTTGATTAGAATACCAAAAGGAAAGCAACAGTTCTATTGCAATCACAACATGAAGGCAACAATTCTGAACTTAAGGCAAGGCATACATATAGTAGAGAAAATTACACAGGAATGGGAACAGTTCAGTACATGCTGTGTCTAAAAGAAAACCTGCATCGTTTAGTCTCTTAATGATATAAGATTCATATAAGGATCATATATTAATCATTAGGTATTCTCTATTAAGAACACTCCCAACCCACCAATTGCATTTGAAAAAATTCATGACTAAGATTAAATTTTTTATTGCTGTAGAAACTGAAGCACAGAGCAAAACATAACCACATAATGTACGCCTTGATTTAATTAATTGTTTAGATGCTACAGCCTACATGCCTCTTCGAAACATTAAAAAGGAGTAAATCCTATGCTCCCACCATTCACATTCAGCATCTCCTTTACTATCAGCCCAAAAATATGGACTACTTTGATAAAGCAAAAACCCTGATCCTAAACTATCAGTAGCATTTTGATTGGGAATCAATGATGCTACCATCACTTTTAATAGTGCAGGCCCACTCTTAGAAGAAACACCTAACAATTTTCAAATTCATCAAAATATATAGAGAGAGAGAAACAAGAAAGACCATATAATACCTCAGAATCCTGAGATTTGGCAATATCAACAAGTATTTTTGCAGCAGGGTGAACAATGTCCAAAAGCTTCATTATGGTAGCACCATCATTCGAGATAGTAGTGTTTCCCTTATCATCGTGGATCAACTTGTCCATACCCCTTGGACCAAGGGTAGTCCTCACTACATCTGCCACAGCCATACATGCATTTATGTTGCTTACTAACTGTGCCTTCCCTTGAGAAGTATCTGTCCCTTCCTTTAGCAATATGATTTGCGGTTGCTGTAGAACAATCACCACCAAATTAAAGAATAATACAATACTAAACAAATCCAAGATGCAACAACATTCAAGGTTTCACTACACAGTCTAACAGGTTGATTGGTAAAGTAATATATCAAGAAATATAATCTTCTGCCCACCAAAACATAGCTAAAGAAATTACATTTCGTATAACTGAGCTTAAACGGGGTTAAATACCAATTACATTATGAACTATTTCTACTTCCATTACCTTCCCATCCCCATATAAACTTTTAAGAAACTTAAGGCGTGCATTGAAAAATAGGAATTATACTACAAACTCGAATTCCTGAGTTCCTGTTTCCTACTTTCATCTTGCATATTGTGTCCAAAAAAAAAAAAAAAAAAATTAATACTCCGTAAATAATAATAAAATCCATGGCGTCTGAGAGGACGGGATAGGGAGAAAGAGAACGCTTACAAGCATAGCCGCCATTCTGTTGCCGATCTGAACAATCAACCTCTCGAATTACGCACTGAAAGTGTTTGGCGGAGTGTTAATACAGAAGAAAGCAGTGAGAATGACTAGGGTGTAGGGTTCTAGTTCCTTCTTCTGCAGAAGCTTGCGAAGGGAAATGAAACTTTTGAATTAATTCAACTGTGGCCCCTAAACGCTTGAGTTGTCACATTTAACTCCACAAATATTCAAATAATAATATAGTTAATGGCCAATTTGGTCCCTTAACTATAGTAAAATTATCGATTTGGTCTTCAACTATCATCTTTACCAAATTAAGTCATCAAGTTTAAGAATTTTACCTAATTTTATCATCAGTTATCATCCTACGGGCTACGAAGGACAAAATTGAGTAAGATTTTCAAATTTGATGACTTAATTTGATATAAATGATAGTCGCTAATCAAATTAGTAATTTCGATATAGTCAAGGGACCAAATCAGTCATTAACTCAATAATATATGTTACACCTTCATCCATAAAATAGTATAATGTTATTATGTGACATTTGGTTTATAGAATAAGCATGGAATTAAATAATATTTTATGAAACATGTCTATCTTGGTTTTTTTTTATGTACAATGTAAATTATATATATACTCAATAGAATGAAACAAATATATGAAATATGTCTCAGTCTAAAAAGTAAAAAGCCAAGTAAAAAATAATGATTCGTAATCTACAAAGCCTAGTGAATTCAAAACTTGAATTCCAGAGAGAGAGAGAGAGAGAGGAAGAAGAAGGAGGAGGAGGAAAGGAGTAGAAAGAGGGGAAGGATGAGAAGAAGAAGGAGGAGGAGGAGAAGAAGGAGAAGAAGAATAAGGAGGAGGAGGAAGAAGAAAAGAACAAGAAGTAAAAAAAAAAAAAAAAAAAAAAAAAAAAAAAAAAAAAAAAAACAAATGAATGAAACTTGTACAATGAAATACAAATCTTACAAAAACTAGCAACAAACGTATGTACACCAATGATGAGCTCAATTTCCTTCAAAGTTTAAAAGGAAATGTGAAAATCATCCAACAGATAAGCTATTTGTCTCATAGACAAAACCAATAGGGTGCTTCGTACTCACTACCACGATCGCTTCTGACCTTCTTAATCCTTCGATTAAGTTAATTTTCCACTTCATTCTTATAAAGAATATACTAGTTTTTTTACGTGCATTGCGCGATTGGGATAATGCCCATTTTTTTTTTAAATAAGTACTTTAAAGTATATTAAGGCAGGATTAACTAAAGAATATAATCAATTGATGAATTTGAATGTAAAAATTTTTACATTTGAGAAAAATAAAGACAATATAACTAATGAAAATATTTCTTTTAATTAATTTATTGATAATTAATAATTTTTTTTTCACTGAATAAAGACATTGTAAGGATAATGTAGCGAATATAATCAATTAATAAATTTGAATATAAAAAATTTTTATATTGAAGAAAAATAAAGACAATATAACTAATAAAATTATTTCTCTTAGTTAATTTATTGATAATGAATATTTTTTTTTTTTTGAATAAAGGCATTGTGGACACATAATTATAAATTAAAGAAATGCATATGTATTATTTTTTGTTGTAACTACTAAATTATTATTTATATATATATAATTTAATAAGAGTAAAATAGAGTACTAATAATGCCAACTTTGATTGGGATGAGATTCGAACCTAAGACCTTTTTCTATTGAAATCAATGAGTAAGTTAACGGTGAACTAACGGCAATTCTTAAAATTTTAACGGAATTAGTAACGGTGTGTGGGTATTTTAGGAAATTTTAGTGTAAAATTTAAATCTGATCAATCTTTCAATCAATCTGAGTCATTCATTTGATTAAAATCTGTGACCGCCATTTTTTCTACCCATTATAGGCCTAACTCTCTTGGGCTCTTATTAGTATAGTATATAGTAGATATTTATCGACGACTTCACCTTTGCTCTTAAGCAAATACACATAGCAGTATCGTGTGTTATCGTCAATAAACGTGATAAAATATTTATTACCACCGCGCGATTGTATTGATCTAAAATCACATACATCGCTATGAACCAACTCAAGTGGTTTCGTTTTCCTTTCAATCGATTTAAAAGGAATTTTCGTTTGTTTTGCCTCAACACAAATCTCACATGTGTTCTTATCAACTTGAAATGCAGAAATACAGGACCGTCCCTGGCCAGGGCCAGCGCACAGGGTCCCCAAATTTTGGGGGCCCCAAATATCACATACGTAGTATATATGTGCATTGTGCCCCTAAATTTTGGGGGCACTTTTATTAAAAAAAAAAAATTATTATTTTATATTTATATTTTATATATTAGTATAGGTGTAATTTATGTATAAAGAAATCAAGACGGTCTAAAATTCAAAAAAGTTTATATTCCTAATTCTTAAGGACTTGATTTACGTATAGAATTGTAGTCCTATAACTTATAGGAATTGAGACGGGCCTATTTGATTATAGTAAAAATTATTATATATAAAGAGTAAAAAATTACTCTTATTCCTATTATAATGCATAAACGCAAGATTTGTATTAACAACGCAAGAATTCGGTCCCAGTAATCATTAATTTAAAGTGCGTTGTTTCTGCCTTTTGGCATCCTCAATTTTTTTATTCTTCATGATAAAAGGATGAAGGTATGTAAATAATTAAATATTTTAATTCTTTATTTTTATTCAAAATTTTAAAATTATTAATTCAATGACTAACCCTGGCTAGGATTTTTTTTGATTGGTGAATAACAATCTAATTTCTTGTATTTTTATACTACAATTGCAATATTAATTAGTTTTGACTATTTTCATTACTGTTGTTTATGTATAAAGAAGTTTTTTAAAGTTAAAGTTGTTGAAATCTGACTTTATGACCAACTATATTGTAAAAAAGACTCAATGGATTGGTGAATAATTTTACATCTAAATATGACTGAAGAAGAATAAGAATGTCACTTTTCAAGTGAAATTTTGAATAATAAATTTTTTATAGACTATTATATATTTTGGTACAATACAATACATCTGTTATATATTTACAATTATACAAAAAGGGGGTCAATGTTAATTTTCATACAAGACCCCAATTTTCTTAGGAACGCCCCTGCAGAAATATGGTCCAAGTTAATTAATCTACGTATAGAATTAGAATTAACGTGACACAGTCTACCGTGCCACAAACACGAAGACTCAAGTAAGTAGGCTGAATTAATAATGTTTTTATTAATCGCGGTTATTGCATCGAGCTTAAAAAGCCCATCTAGCACATAACTCTTGCCTACGTACATTCCCGATTTCGACAAAACAACTCCGTTTGACTCAAACACTAATCGGAAGTCATTCTTGTTCAACAATGAACTAGAAACTAAGTTCTTCCGTAGCTCCGGTATGTACAAGACGTTGTTCAGAGTCAGCTCTCTCCCAGAGGTCATTCTAAGAACCACTTTGCACATGTCTTCCACAGTAGATTGAGCAAAGTTCCTCATTCATACCTTCCTACTATTAGTCGTCTCGAAGGTAGTAAACAACTCACGGTTGTAACACATATGTCGGGTCGCACCCGTATCAATAAACCATTCCGTTTGGTTCGAACCAACCAGGTTTACCTCGGTCACCATTGCCGAGAGGATGATTTCAGACTCATTCTGATTGACTTGCACCATGTTAGATTCCAAATAATCATTCTTCCTCTTAAGTGCTTTACAATCAGTCCACTTGTGGCCCATAATGCCACAAGTGAAGCATTTTCCGTAGAATTGCTTCTTGAAGTCCTTTCTACCCAAAGGCAACAAATGGATACCAGATTCCACTTGAAAGGCTTCACTCACGATCATTCCTTCGTCAACTTGACTTAGGACGATCCCGGAATCCACCATCTTGTATTCAAGTAATCGGCTAGTGACAAACATTTTTGCCTTAGCATCATCACTCTTATACTCCAGGTCCAAAGATTCCCACAACGAGTCACACAAACCATTTAAAACATAGTTTAGGCATATGAAAACCAAATAGTTCCAAATCCTTACTATGCTAACGGTTTGAGCGTTAGACTCATGTTCCTTTCCACTAGGAACCATCTCTGTCAAGAACCATGACATGCTGAAAATCATTAGGTTGTACAACATTTTAAGTTGCAACCCTTCGAAATTCAACTCTATGAATTGCCATGGTCTTTCGACCAATCCACAAGGTATCGTCCCGTGTGCCTTCATCATAGGGATATACCCTTTGATGTCACCACCGGTCTCCGAACCAAAGCTCACCGGGGTTTTGGATTGTGCAACTACGTTGCCGATCCGACCAAACGAATGTGCACCACGAGCAACATTCATGGTTCCACCACTCGTGGAATCCATCGATTTAATCACCAAAAATTAATCGGTTTTAAGATTGTTGGAAATTGGTGAATAAATCGATACACAAAATATATATATAACAAATATATATTTATGCCGAAAATTGGAATTTAATTTATAGAAAATTAATTCCAACCAATTTTGGTACAAAACCAAAATTACATATATATACAACGTATATATATTAATCAAATAGGTATTTATTTTATCAAAAAATAGTCCCACCACAACTAGTACGAAACTAATACAAGGAATTTAATTTCCACGAGATTAATCCAACCACTTGGTACGAAACCAAGAACAAAACATAAAACAAGAAGGGTTTCTAACCTGAGGTTTTAACCCAACGAGAAGAAAACGAAGAAGCAGAAGTCCGAGTCGTGTGTACACACACTCTTTTTAAAACCGATTCGCCACCTCCAGATGGTGCTAGGAGCGTTGTAGCGTCAGTCTCCTAAGATAAAATGGATTACGATGTTGGCGTTCGAGCACTCAAACCCAAAGCCCGACGAACAAGAACACAAGTTAAGAACTCCGATTTTTTACGGAAGTGTTGGTAGAATCTCTTTGTAAGAAATAACTTTTGAGAGAAGATGATAGAAAAATATGATTTTGCAAGTTAAAAAACCAACGAAAACATTCTACCCAACACATAGGTTTTTATAGGGAAAGGAGGAATTAGTAGCCCACTAATGACACATTAAACCAATCATAAATCTAATTTAATAATTAGATTAAAACGTTTGAAACGGTCATACTTATTATCATAAT